CACCTTGGATTATAATCGGTGAGCTAAACGCACCCATAGAGATTCCATCCTCTATTCATCCATCTCCACATGGGTCTCGGCAACACCCTGTTTTCTTCACTAGAGAGCTAGACATCCATTCTCTGAGCTTTTACTTATCTCAGTTGACGCTCGTGGTTCCTCATGAAGTTCTGATTTTGACTCACAGTCAGATGCATCAGTTTTTCTTGCATGAGATCTGATTTTGACTCACAGTCAGATGCATCAGTTTTTCTTGCATGAGATCTGATTTTGACTCACAGTCAGATGCATCAGTTTTTCATCTCATTCTCTGCATCCACAGAGCACGTTAACACAGGTCTAGGTTCTTTGTCTCATCGACAATTACTATACTCTGAGACAAACATTTTCTTCTCCGCATCCCACACTTAATATACATTTGTGAAATGCCTCATATAATTTTACTGCAATAAACATTACCCAAGCTTTATCTATTACGGCTTTCACCATTCGCTTAGTGATGCCATTTTACTGCTCGGTTTGTGGATTTTTGGTGACTCAAACAAAGCGTGAACTGTTTAGTTTCGTCTCAAATTTGATTTCTGCCATAAACACAGTATAGAAGAAAACATGCCCAATTCAAACCAAAAAAAAAAAAGAATGCTGAGATTCTCGCAATGTAATTTTTGCGACAAGATTTGGACGTCACACGTTGTGCTCTTTCTATTGTTTTCATCTGTTGCCCAATCAGAACAACAACAACAATTCAATTAGGTCAATTGGACAATTAGGTCAATTTCAAATTCCTTGAGCTTTATAGGTATCTTAACACCCTTATTTAAGTATTGCCACAAGATCTTATTGTTCTTGCTTGTATATCTGCATAAAATACTTATTGCAGCGCACAAATCAGATCTTGTGCATATCATTATGTACATCAAACACCCAATGAGGTTCTGAGAGGGTTCCCTTTAACTGAATTAAATGCAAAATCTAATTTACTTGGAAGTGGGCACTACAGTCAGCCATATTAAACTTCAAAGTTAAAATCCCGTCTCATCTCTGACCTCTAATTCCCAGAAATTCAGCGAAATTTGCAAATTAAAGTGCATTTTAAAAGGTCTAATTTGTCATAATTTCCATCTTTAAATCGCCAAGGATAGGCAAATTTTACTATTTTTGCAACTCACATAAATTATCATTTCGTGCGATACGTTTTAAATGAGGCCAGTTTTCAACTCAATAGTAAATTTTATTATCTCACTCAGTGTATGGCTCTCACTCTCAAATCTTTTCCTTGTCGGAATAATGACCAGTAATTTCTCATCAATATTATAATTCTGAAAAGGCTTACCACAAAAGACAACGATACTTCCCTTAAAAATGTTGTCTTCTATTTTGACGAGAATATCTTTCATTATCAGCTTTCCAAATTTTGGTATTGATAACCAATTTTATGGTAATTCAGGGCAGAACCAAACGTCTTCCAAAAATAGTTTTAAGACCAGACTCCATGACGCATGTTTATCCAGTCATTTATATCTTCTCAGTTGTTGTCGTCATTCTCCATCTTATATTTTTGCATTCACTGTCTGTGATCAGCAAACTCAAGAAAACGTCGCACATCTAATTTTCTGTTGCTAATATTACTGGAATGCTCTTCAATCCCAGCACAAGTTGAACTTTTCACTTTCTGTATCGCCAAGCATCAACTGTTTTCTCAATCGCTTATTGCAGGAATTCATGCGGCGATGATTTACCTTTCAATCATCTAAACATTCACATCCATCACATTTTCTTGATTAACAGAATTTCTGAATTCTAACCTTACAGACATTGCGTTTTTTCCCGTCAAAGGCGTGTATAATATTTTACGGATTTTAGGTCCATTTTAAGAGTACGGGCGAAATGCTTTACACTAGTAAGTATTAAAAGAATACACTGGGCCCATAACCCGTTGGGTTTTGGATATTTGGAATGAGAACAATTCACTTGCAGTGCACATTCATTTAATGAGGGTGCACCAGAGGTTATGAAAAATCTAAAAAGAGCTCAGCTGATATTATACGTATTAATTTTTACTCTCACGGCATTGCCATATTTCAACTACCACGTAGCTGCGGCGGCTTCCTTTTATTCAGACAGAGCAGTGCTGAGACAGAGTCCGAGTTTGACCCTCGGCGTTGGGTGAAGGCTGTGTAGTAGTAATATGGAGAGGGGTCTATTTGCATCTTTCAGCGGTTTACACAGATGTGGCTGAAAAATTGGAAATTCTCATAGTTTTGCGAGCATCTTGGAGCTAGAAGCTTTCGATCGACCCAAAAATCTTAAAAATCGCCCCGGTAGATCTCTCAAAATAGGCGTTACAACAGGAACATACACTAATTCTCGAGAACTTAAGGCCGGAGGGGGGTAGATTTGGCTTTAAGAGCGTCTCAGGAAGAAGAGTCTAAAAAATTTGGAAGTCTGACAGTTTTGCGAACATCTGGAAGCTAGAAGCTTGCAGTCGACCCAAAAATCGTAAAAATCGCCCCAGTAGATCTCTCAAATTAGGCGTTACAACGGAAACATACCGCAACTCTCGGAAACTTAAGGTCGGAGGGGGGTGGATTTGGCTTTAAGGGCGTCTCAAGCGAAAGAGGCTGAAAAATTTGGAAGTCTGAAAGTTTTGCGGACATCGAGACGTCAAGGGCTTTCACCAGAGTCAAACATCGTCGAAATCGGTCCGGTAGAACTCCAGAAATGAGCGTTACAGTGAAACCCCCAACGATTTTATTTATATAGATTCAGTAATCGTTTGCTTGGGAGTAAGGGGTGGGGTTTTGTTAAGTTTCTTAGTATTATTTTGGATGTTTATAGGGGTAGGTGGAGGGGTTTTTTGTTTATGTAGTGGTGATTTAGGAGCTGATTGTTGAGGATTGTTTAGATTTGGGGTATCATGAGTTGTTTTAGTTACTTTGTTTTTAGGTTCATAGGATTCTTCAATAACTTTTGAAAGGGGTTTGAGTTGGTCGTTTTTTGAATATTTATGTTGAGTTTTTATATTTTGTTCTGTTTGTGGTTTTTCTGAGTAGTTTTTCAAGGGTGGGAATTGTTGAGTTGTTTTTGGAGGTAGTAAAGGGTTGGAGTTGTTGTTTGTGGTGATGTGTTTATCGTTAGTATTTAGGTTGGTGACAGGTTGGGGAGTGTCGAGTTTATTTTTAGCGAGTTTGTATGAAATGTTTTGGGTTGCCATGATCTCTTTGAGTTGTTTTTCAGTGAGGTATTGAGGGCAGTTTCTGTCAGAGCTATCATGTCGTCCTTGGCAGTGTGTGCATTTGGTTTCTCCTGTGCATTTTTGGGGATCAAGTATTGTAGTTTCTCCACATTTTGAACATTTTTTGCTGTTTTTGCAGATTAGGGTGTTTTTGATGTGGGACTTATGTCCGAACATGAGGCAGTGGTTACATTGAAGAACTGGGTATATATATGGTACTACTTTGCATTTGTGGTACAGAATGAAAACTTTTTTGGTAAGAGCTGTGATTCGATAGTGGCGTCTATATTGTATGTTGGGGTTAGCTTTCCATGTTCTCTTTTGAAAATTCGTCTGATGGAATAGGTTTTGAAATAGTTTCTAGTTATGGAGTTTTTGATGTCTAAGAGTGTGATTGAAGGTTCAACGTCTTTGATTATTATACGTCTGGTTAGTCGATTATATGGAATGTAGATTCTGTATTTAGTTTTGAGTTCGTTGGGGTGGTCCATAAAACGGTTTGCTAGTACATAGTCAGAGAATTCAATATCAATGATATTTTTGTTTATTTTACTCACGTTAATTACTCCTTCAACTTTATGATCTTGAATTAATTTTCCGATTATCATAGGATGTTTAGTTCCAAGATTTCCATCTGGGTCTGACATAGAGATTACGTAAGGTCCATAGCTTTGAGAATTGTATCGTAGAGATTTGAGGTTATCGATTTGTAGTGTAGAGGTACAATTAGGATCATCATAATTAGGGTTGGGATGAGAAAGGTGGGGATCCCCAGGGGGATCACCCATACTTAAAGAAGGAAGAGTTAGAGAGATAGTGAAAGAAGGAAATTAAGAGAAAAGGAAGGAAAAGAAGGAAAGATTTAAGATCAACTCCCGAAAAGAGGTTATGCAAGTAATAGGCACTCGCGCGTACGTCTGTTATCGGTGAGAAATGGCGTAGAACTGTGCTCAGAGTTGAAATTGCTAATACACAAGAGCAATTGAAGTTCTCTCTTTCTCCAGAGAGCATGAGCTGAGAGCATACTCGCATCGGTGCACGCTCCCGCTTACTGATGATCTGCGGCAGGATTTTCTGTAAGTCTAGCCTTCCGGGCTAAGACTGAATCTCTGCTAAACTCAAACTCCCCCTCAGGGGGGATCCAAAAATTTTGGGGATCGAAGAAGTAGTTTACTTACGTTGACACAGGAGCACTGTCAAAATTTCAAATCTCCATTCCAATTCGTTCAAAAGTTACAGAGGTGTCCTAAGACTCTAAGACTTTTGCGTCGCCCTGTATATCTGTGTGAATGTTTCAACTCTACGGCTCTGAAATTATTTTTTTTTAAAAAAGCAAAAATGTCATATACTGACCCAGCGACCCAAAGCTCCTCCAGGCACCAATAGCTCATTTCTGCCCCCCCCCACAGCAAAAAGCTGTATCCCCGATGAAAATTTTGCATTTTTCTTCCAAACATGCTGTTTTAAACCAAGAAGTCCTAATTAATTCTTAATTTTTTATGTTTGAGTTCTTAGTGGTATGCTGCACAATTATTCTCAAATTTTGAGGGATGAATGCTGTTTGTTTTTTTTTGTAATACAACGTCTTGAATGAAAGAAACTAAGAAATCAAGAAAGAAGCTACGGCGTTTTTGCTTTGAACGGCAGATTTTGCTCCGCGTGTACGGTCTGATGCCGCTAATACCTAGCTCCAGAGCCAACCTCTGACGACCAAACCTGATCCTTACATGTCTATCTTATGTTTTTGTGATTAACCTTGTTTCAGGGCGACGATAAATGCCATCTCCTCGTATCTGGACGCTTTCCAAAAAATAGCAGATGCTGCCACTAACACGAGAGGTGAGCGCCGACACATTCTCTTACAAAGCAAAACTTTTTACGTTATTTTTGGGATATTTTGGGTTTGTATAATACAGTTCATAGTCCCCACCGATGACATCTTCGGCTCCGGCGAGGCGGGACATTTTAAGGCGAAGATTCTTAACCTCCCGGTTGATTCGAACAAGGTCAACGTGTTAAACGGTTGCCTGAACATATGTCTGCAGGCGCATTTTAGCAAAAAATGCGTGTTTCTCTATCATCCCGAGGGTTTTTTTTGGACACCGAGCACATCGTCTAACTAAGACGAGATTTTGATATGTTATCAAAGAGGCTTTAGGACAAATTTTAACCCTCGTTTGGTTTTAGTTGGATGATGCGCTCATAGTTACAAAAAAAAAAAAAAAACTTTTTCAAAAGTCCACTCATAAGCGACATCCGCAAAAATCTTAGGAAAACATGTCTCTCCAACTGTATGCACGCTACATATACAGGGTTATCCAAAAGTCACCTACCTCCCCTGTAACTTTTTTCCTAATTGAGATAGAAGTTTGAATTCTTGAGAATGTTCCTCGGTTTAAGGTAGCAACTTTTTGGCCCCCCAAAATTTTGGGGGGCGGGGACTAACTTTTTTTTTTCAAATGGCAATCCCCCTTTTGTGATACCTCATTCGAAAGATAATAAAAAAAAAAAATTTTTGGCGCAAACCGCAGGTTAAAATGTTGATTTTTGACAAAATGGCGGAAATTTGGCATCTCCGTTTTTTATTGGCGGATTGGTCTGAAACTCAGAACCCTAGGGTTTTTCGGGAGGAGAAAAACGATTCTGGCATTAGTTTTCCAGAAATATCAGTCCTTTTCAAAATGGCGGCGGTTAAAATGGCGGCTTAGAGTGGGAAGTGGATATTTAGGCTGCTTATCGTTGGATTTGTATAAGACTTGGTATCCGGGGGTATTTCGGCACGAGAAGAACGAATCTTTCATTGGATTTTTGAAATGTTTAAATACTTAGAAATGGCGGCGAAAAAATGACGGAAAATCCATATCACGGCTGTTTACCGATGGATTTGCACGAAAGTCAATACTCTAGTGGTTTTTGGCTCGAAACAAATTAATCTTTCATTAGATTTTTGAAACACTGAATATCGTCAAAATGGTGGCGGAAAAATAACGGAAAATCTGCATCTACCATCGCCATTCGCATTTTTGCCGCCATTTTCAAGTTTTTAAAAATTTCAAAAATCCAATGAAAGATTCGTTCTTCTCATGCCGAAATACCCCCAGATACCAAGTCTTATACAAATCCGACGATAAGCAGCCTCAATATCCACTTCCCACTCTAAGCCGCCATTTTAACCGCCGCCATTTTGAAAAGGACTGACATTTCTGGAAAACTAATGCCAGAATCGTTTGAACGATGCCTTTTGAACCCGTTTTGAACTATAGGATGAAGGAGGGGGGAGGGGTTTCAACGCTCCCGTGATTCTCCGGTGGTAGAGGGGCCGAAATAACCTGGACTTGCATATGCTGATGATATTTTCTTTCAGTTTACTATTCTATTTTTGTGAGAATTTAAAGAATCAGTCAGCTAGACTTTCATCACAATTTTACACTCATAACCTAATTTTTGTTTTCTTTTCCTATTTCTTAATCCATAATTTATGCACGTAGAGGCCTTTTTGTAAGGCGGGAAGATTCCCTGGTGATATCTCCTTTGCAAAGATATGATTCCTTTTGTTACCCACGAGTATTTCAATTTGGCCATTTCTAAGAGGCAATGACAGAGGCAGATAAATTGCTTCACCAACGTCTTCCTCCTTTTTCCGACTTCCATTAATTTCAAATACCTTACTTCGGAAACAGATTTAAGCAACTCTTGTTCGTCAAATTTAAAAAAATTCGCTAAGGGTGAGGTGACTAACGTGGAGATGCGGTTTTTTCGATGAAAATTCACCACCTTGCGGAGCATAAATCATGTCATGATGATTTTTGCTGAAGAGTTTTGTATCTCAAACAAATGTTTCCCTCTAGACCTTTACGATACGTGCACAATCGCTGACTTATGGCACACAAAAACCGAGGATATGATATGCCCAACTTTCACTAAAAGACCAGGCTGTCGTTTAATTACGGAATTCAAACTCATGTTGATATTCTCTCAAGATTTACAAATGAATTTAAATAAGTACAAAGGAAGTTTTTGGTCAAAATGATCTTATCATTTTCCACTTTTCCTCCGTTATTGCAAAATTTTCCAGAAAAAACATAGAAAACAGCTAGTCGATCTTTCAAACCATCTCATAACACGTCTTTTTCCGGACAACAAATACCCCGAGGCCTAAATAGAGTACGCCTTCATGTTGATTTGTACGAATTTCTGTCCCTTTTTCCCTCCATATATACCAACTATAGCGATGAAAATTCATCCTAATAATCAAATTAAGTTTTATGGGAAGTGAGACAACCCTCTGTACATCGCGATTTATCGAAAATCTGTCTTAGAATCCGGGAAATCACGCAAGGTCGCGTCCACTCAGGGTGCATAAGGCGCGGCGCGGCGATGAATCGGGCCAAAACGCCTACCAACGGAAAGTGCCTGCCACAGGGGTGCGCTTAAAATTGAGCTCATGGATTTATTTATCATCGCACAAAAATGGTTATGGTATCATTTTAAACGTCAGAGATTGGTCTTTCTACAAAACACGAGAAGAGGTTTTTTTCTCCACCCGATTGAAAAATATTCGTCGTTGTAAATTTTAGAAATTTGAGCATTTTCTGTTCTTTTGAAAAATACCCGGAAAATTCGGAGGAAAAACGCGAATATATCCTTTACACCTGTTAACTTTCAACATAGCTTCTAAACAAGCCCAAAATAATGAAAATCGGACGAGAATGTGCCGAGATATAGCGCGCGTATGACTCGCGTAGCACGAGAATTGCCCGTATTCCGCCGTTTTCACCGCGCACCGCGTACCGCGTACCGCGACGCTTCACTTGAATTGCTCTAGCGGGTGCATTTTTTGACGCAAAAAAATTGTTTTGGTATGAAATTAAACGTCAGATTATTTCCCATCGCCGTTACTTAAGGCAAAAACGCCATTTTCTCGCGTGTTAAATAATTAAACGCTCTTGAAAATTGGCCGAAATTTCAAAATTTCAAAATTTTCCTATTGGCCATTCATGTGTGCCTTTGGCGAAACAACTTATGAGGTAGACTTCTGTAGCAGCATTTTAGCTTCAAAATGAGACCAAGAAAACGAAAATCGGACCCGTAGTTTCCGAGATATAGCGCGCTGTAAAAACGCTTGGCGGCCATCTTTAACGGCCGCCATCTTGGTTCCTGCACGGACCCCAGAGTGGTTCCCCTTCCAAAAGGGTTTCTTATGACCATAAGAATGATTCCTGAAAGCGATAATTTCCAATCAAAAAGTGCAGGGTTTTTTTGTGTACCCCGCGTACTAAAGGTAGCAATGGAAGGTCTCTTGTCTCTGTTTTCAGCCCCAGTGAGGCGGCCCTCGGAGCCATTGCTAGGGATCCAAGGGGTGGGAGCCCTCTCGCTGTAACGAACTAATCACGGCTAGTTTTTTTTATATCCGTGCACCGGTAAATCCTGGAAAGTTACTCAATTAATGAAATAATCAATTCAGTCACGGGCTTTTCGCTAGTTGTAAGAACGGATGTGTTCCAAAATCGCATGTTGCATGGGAGGCAAAACTTATGGTTTCCCTCCCCCTCCTCCCCCCCCCCCAAGCAAAGCTGTGTTTACTTAAGCAAGTGTAAGTATACTGCAGAACTTCCAGCATCGAATTTTCTAACGGAGTGAAATTATGTTTCAGGTGCTACGAAAGAAATCGGTACAGCATTAACGCGGATATGTTTACGTCATAGAGCTGTGGAGGCCAGACTCAAAACCTTCACCAGGTAACCTTCTTTACTTTCTGAATTTCAATGAATGTCCGCATATAAATGTCTGTACTATGAGCCATGGGCATGCGTCATAGAATCCCTTTTAACCCCCTCCCCCCGCCCCCCTTTTG